ACCAATCTTGGATAAAATTTATTGAGAATTAAGGTGCTCCATCTTCGTTTATCTAAAATGAAAAATATCCCAAGGTAAACATGCAAGAACTTATTCGCGGTAAAAACGGGAACAATCAGAGTAAAAGTAATATTTTGAAACCTGAAATATTGTCCTCATGAGAAATAAGTTTGATACGCGCGTGAAGCTGCATGAGTTCTGGGCTACCTAATTATACAGATTCTTGCCGAAATATTTCTAAGTATTTCATTGAAGCGACAATATTCATACCCCGCAAAAATATTTTCGGACACACGGCCTTCGAAATTTTCAGTTCTAATAAAATAAGTGAACTCGGAATAACTTACTAGGGTTGTCAGAATAGTTTGATAAGAGTCATAGCATTTAGGCAGTCCAGAGCAGTTGTTGAGCGTGCTATCTTTGCAGAAAGACAAACCAAGATCATTTGACAACAGACTGACTGATAGACAGACAAAAATCCTGTTATTGTTAGCGGGATATGCTGTCCAGAGGCCTTTCCCATCAATCAACGACCATGTATGCACACCCTGTATGAAACAGGCATTAGCTTCTTGAAACTGGAATGGGGTTGTAGCCGGTGTCAAAGAAATTATGTTCCCCTGGGGATTATGGTCCCCTTTCTTAAAGGCCCTTACTGGCCCTGATTGTGGATACGATAATAAGGGAAAGAGTTGTATATAGGTCACCATATAAATCAATGGAAAGTATGACCATAATTTAATAGGACCTGCTACCCTTTTACAACGGGCAGAACGCGAACAAGGCAGTAGCATCGCCAAAGCTTTACAAGTAAAACTGTGGCCAGATTGGATTCTCAACAACTTAAATATCCTATCCTAAATATTTTGATCAACATTTGGGAAGGAAAGCAAAATGATAATCCATTGAATCACGCGTTTTGTTGATTATTATCAATTTTGTTATTAATATAGCCTACTCCCAATCACCGAACAGTTTTATTACAAAAGTTACATTTAAATTAATTATCTCAAGTTCTTTTCAATTGAGATATATAGCAAATATTGTTATAAAGTGTTAAATAATATGTATGATATTATTTATAATTTTATTGTATACAAAAATGACAGTAGCAACTATCAACCTATCAACTAAGCAAACACTAATAGTAATTATTACATGGATCTATATTAAAAACAATTTTATACACACGCTATTCCTGAAATTGTGTATATACTGAATGCATTTATTACTTCAAAACGGAATGAATGCAGTGTTGTCTTGAAAGCCTTGGAAAAAAGAATCGTCTAAAGGATGAAACATCCCCCCCCCAAGGAGGATTGGATCCCAGGCTTCCAACTTGATATTCTGCCATAGATGTCGCGATTACAAAATTCAAATAGCCGCCATTTTATTCACTTCAAGTGATCGAGATATTGATTCGAATCATTTGAACTGTTGATTATGAATTCATGGTCACTTAATTAATAATTCCAGAAAATAACGACATTCTTATTGTTGGGAAATATCGAACTGCGTCCCTGGGAGCCAATCCTCTTGCCGTTCCCTGATCCATTATGATAAATCATGACATCTTATTTCTTCTCAGCATGGTGAAACAGAAAGATGCTATGATAATCAGAATGGGTTTAACCCCGATGTTGTCAACTTCGGACTTCAATTCCCTCGCCTATTCAGCAGGAATTCCACGACAACTTTGGGGACCCGCCTGGAACACATGTTGCGGACTATATTCTCTTAGCGTGGATGTTCAAAAGTACAAGTTGAAGCACCGCAACAATGGGTGGAATTCCTGCTGTATTCTAAGATTCTGACTTTGGTATTGGTGAACTACTTACACCCCCCTCCATAAGTGATATACATCTATATATACACTCCCCTTCATAAGTTTGGCAACCGGAAGTCACCATTTGGATCACGTGTTAGGTCTATTTCATTATGTCTCGCGATTTCAATCAATTCATCATTCTTGTCAATTTCTGAACAATTTTAATTGAAGAACAAAACTAAGATTCAACCATTAACATGCTATCCCATGAAGGCTTCTGGTTTCTAAACTTATAGAGTGGGTGTCTATCGATAAAAGATTGATCCAGACGAACGATTCTCATTTGACACCTGACAGACGACAACTGACAGACAGACAGACGGACGGACATCCTGTTTCTCAGATACACTGTCAGATATCCAGACGCCTTATTTGTCATGAATTGACAGTATCGCCTGCAGGTGTGAAAGAAATTATGCCCCACCCCGTTGACTATGGTACTCCTCAATATAGCCAAAACTGACCCTGGTTAAGTATATTAAAGAAAATAGTTGTAAATTGGTCGCTTTATTAATCAGCGGAGAGGGGAATCATATATAAAAGAAAAAATATGCATATGTTTGTTCCACACATTAGATAAAATAAATCGTCTCCGATTTAAAGAGTGAAGACTAGGTCGCCATCTTGTCAAGGGTAGATATCAACAGTCCTGGATGTTTCCAGACTTTCGAGTTAAAATGTTGCAAAATATAATCTTATTCATTAATGTCGCTGACAAGTTCCTCTTGAACACATTTCGACCAAAAACGAGCCTATCTACAACAATTGAAGTCGATTTTTTACTATTCAACAACAACAACCCTTCTAGATCTAGTTCTAGATCTTGACACTTTTCAGTCTAATAGATTGATTCACGGAGGCTGGATATAAGCTTAACTAAACTAACTGTAATTAAATTGGGCGATTTTGATTTTGGAATAATGGCAACCCATCCTTGAAATAATCAGGTTTCCGTCACTTTAATATCGTTAGGCGCACTAAAGTATATGGAAGAGTAACATCGAATCTTCAACTCTACTTTTCTTTTCAATGACCATCTGCCGACCACTTTCGCAAGTTCCAAGAAGCCTAGTAATAGATTCCAATATTCGAAAGCATTTCTACAGCTCAGTGTCTCTTGTATGTACTGACAAGAACATATCTCGGCTGAAAATCTATACTCTTCATTTCTGTAGTATGTCAAATTTGCGATCCTTGTATCGCATTAACAAGTATACCAAGCTAGATAAATACAGTGTTACAAAAGTGAAATCAATAGATAGGTCATATGAGAATCGATGGATATAAGAGATACCTGTGATGTCTAAGTTAGTTAAATAGGGCAATAAAGATCATATTGAAAACGATCCTGACCTTCTAGAAAATCAAACTCATGTCCTCCATTGCTAGGGACAATTGCAATGATATCGGAAAAGCAAATAAAAGATCTGACAAAATAAAACCTGATATCAAAGAAGCCAAAGGCGTGGAAGAGTTTTTCAAGAGAAAGAAGATCTGGAAAAATTGATTTGTTATTAGGTAAATGAAGTATATAGATATGCAGTAATGAGATATCTGGGTTGAACTATTTGTAAGTTGGATGTGCAATTAATAATAACCCCCTTACATATTTGACCAAGCGTGTCTTAGCACGGGCAAATATGAAAAATGACCACTCAACCGCATATCCCATCATTTTGTCATCCCACTCATAGCTTGATATTCCTAAACATCTCCTATCTGTCTTGCATAATGCATCTGTTTTGTAAGTCGTTGCCAATATTAGGGAGGTTAAGCTACGCATTTAAAGAAAACGTGGACGTGGACGTGTAGAATTATGATCAAATAGGGATTGGTTCACCCGCCCTTCGGAGTATTTAGGTATATTTGCCCGATCGAGGACATATAGGTACAAGCTAAGGAAATGGGCGTGATAAGTAAAAACCAAACTGAGAGGGGCTGTAATCAATGGAAGTCAGAATACTTCACGTTCACGTATAGCTCTCTTAAAGACGTGTAGCTTCACATCCCTACCAAAGGAATGCATATTACCGCGCAAATAGACACACGAAAAGAATTTTTCATTCCACTACGATAGAGCTAATCCTAATTTTAGAGACCACATTTTCCAAGGTTGGTGTTTCTTTATAACTCGGTATCTGTTGAATACTATGTGACTGACACTGAGCCCTGTAATAGATGGAAATTATGGCATGTCTCGCCAGTATAACAATGTCAAAGGGCTTACATTATATTACTTGTCATAATTATTTTTCAACTGAGGCGAGACCATCTTCAGATAGTAGATAATAAACCCTGGCGATGTCAGAACCTACTATGTATTTCAATAGACATTTTCATCACGTTACGCATCGTCTCATAAACATGCCAATTATAAGGACTGGGACCATTTTTCTTACTATATTTTTATAGATTTTTGGTAGATTATCTTTCTTTCATTCATCTCTTATAATACAGATAATATTTTAAGAGATCTATTATCCGTCTTTAATAAGAAGGGTCTGATGAATTGTTAGACGCGTTGTGTTTTTTACTAACGAAGATAGACGAAACGATGGATGGGTTAAGTTTATGGTGATGAAATATGGCACAACTATGTTCGCCCGAGGTCGGCCAAAATTGAGCTCGCGTTCACACTTCTCAGTCTAATGCAAAATAACAAGAAACGCCTCAGTTTGAGACGATTTCCTATTAATTGACGGAAAGATATTTCCAGATTGGCATGCTTTCTCGGAACTGTTCTTCAGCCTGTGTAACTTATTTACTGTTATATTACAGTTTACCCGAAATAGCGTTTCTGGTTTTGGGTAAAGCAGAAACATGACTTGAAACGTCAAAGTCCTTATATTGTCATGTCTTAACATTATATTTCGTATTGCTTTCATATTCAGTTCGACATTCATAACTCGATTTCAATGCATTTAAAATGCGGATGTTTCTTATCGCATTAATGAAAACCAGTCATTGATAACAAAATTGTGAATAAATGCGAATCTACAATTGCATTAGTGGTAATGAGATAAACATATTTGTTTTACTCTCAAGACAATCCCTTATGCATTCATGATTGAAGTGTTTTAATCAATTTCATTTTTGCATTTTTACTTATATCATAATGTCTTTAATTAACTATACTCTTAATATCTTAAATCAAATATTGAAGTCAACTTACCTGGTGCATTTAGCGATCTCCTGCTTTGCACCTAAATCTGATATTCCTATCCCATTAATTATGTTCAATCTAAATGTTTCCTTATTTTATCATCGTGCAAGTATGCGAAATCGCTCGCAAGCTCTGAAGCCTGTAACAGTGAAGGCAAATAAGGAGAACCCCAGATGTTTGTTTCACACATTGTTTCACCAAATCCTGTTTATATCCTATTGTGATGCGATCCTAATGCAACGGCATTGATTTGCCGGCCGGGTTCGGATTCATTAGCGTTTCATTAAGACAAGCAGAGAAATCCCTCGTAATCAAAGTCAATCTCACGGGACCCAAGTTTTCATCGGTCGTGTACACTGAACCCTACTTTGACAGATTAGGCCGGTGTCTGACAAAAATATCCAAATACTCGATCCGGTGAATTCTTATTCTCGTGGAATGTTTTCTTAAACGATAAGTAGATCTTTCACATATCGCTGCATGCCCTTCGTACGTCAACATAAGCCAAAGGATTGCCGATGGTTTAGCCCAGGATTCAATGACACGTCGGTATCTTCGCGCTTAGAATTGCCCTTTTAAATTGCAAGGAGCGTGAGATACGGCAAATGTTCGTTTATCACCCACTTACATAAGGATTGTATCGATGATGCTATAATAAATCACAATCTGACTATCTACATCAAAACTTGAGCAAATAATCTTGATTTAAGTTTAGGTCAATATCTAACTTAGAGAGACGCAATATATGCCGAACCTATTGGACAGTTGGAGATTTCTGAATTAATCAGATAATCTGTTGATATTTAAAAATGCAAATGTATCATAAGCAGTTCAATATTCTGGTTTTCTAGTGGCATTCGTGTAAATATTGTCCGACTATTTACCTTATATGCAACTGAGAGGATATCTAAAACAACGTACCATTTTTTGGACTTAAACCTCGTTTATAATCGATCATGAATGACCATATATGGAGGTGCCATATGTTGTAATGCAATAGATAAAATACAGTATATTGTGATGTTATGCGTAATAGGAATTATATTTGTTGCATTGTATCATTGTGCGTTTATTGTATTGAATTACAATTGTATTTCATCATATTACCATGTAACATATTATATTGCATTGTATTACATTACATTATATTAAATTGCGTTGTATTACATTACATTACATTGAATTGTGTTGTATTACATGGTAAAAACCTAATATCTTTGATCGGTTATAGCGAGCACAAGAACTCATTTCTACAAATAATCTTGATCTATATCTTTAATTGCAAAAATAATAATCGAGCCCAGAAACAATTCATCTTTTTAAGTATGAAAACCATGCTTCTTTTACGCTTTATTTCTCATTTAGTAACGACTATCAATTTTTTAAAGATATATCTTCCCTACTCTCTTCCCTTCACCCGACCACTTATTGTCCCCTTGCTATGTATAATGTTATTTCTGAAAAGGGAAATTAAGTTACCTGATCGAAAGTTATTGAAGATTGGAATGCAAAATGGCTAGTCTAGATTCGTTAGAATTGAAAACGGGGATGTCCACTTTTTCACTTATTGATGCCAGCTAACCATCGAATATCGAATGATTATCCTAAAATAAGGTCAGACCTGTTGGACCTTTTTAAATATAGTATGGAATGATAGAACAATAAAAATGTAATTTACATGAAAAATTCCCCTGACCTTTAAATGTGACCTTGACCTAAGTTACATAATAGGCGACAGTTGACATCAATTTGCCTACGACTGCTGACATTTACATGTATTTGCCTGATAAAACAATTGTTCTCTTTCATTATATTGCACAGGCTTGATTATAGAGTTAAACATTATTCTTTACCTTGAGCTTTAGGTTCCTATCCTGTGTACCTAATTTCCAGTTAAAGAATTTGTTTTTTCCTACTTGTTGTTAAAAGCAAAGGACCGGTATGGTATGGGAAGTGATTATGGAAGGTCATATCTTCCACCATGAATACACTTTCTGGCCGTTTTTTCTAAAAGAAGGATCTTGTTTTTCTCAATCTAAATATATCAAAAGTTTCTTCTACACTATATGAGCAACTTCTGAAAAGGGGATGGGTATTGAAATGTGATAACGTCTAAAACCAAATGTATCACGATATTTTTTTTTGAATTGAATACTATTGAAGTTTATTTTTATTTTTTTTATTTATTCATATAACATATATTATAATTCCCAGGGAAAACCCGTGCTACCCATTGTTTTCATCATAAGTTTGGTCATCGACAATTGATATCTTCAAAAATTTCAATACGATTCTACTTTTGAAGAAGTTTAAGAACCCTTGTTGAATAATACTTTCATAAAATAAAAACAGAATAAGAAGATCTACTTTTGTATAGATTGGTTCAATAATTTGAAAAAATGTTGACATGGGGTCCTCATTCATAATTTTTTAAAATGTTAGATTGATATTTTTGCCATCCTTTAAATTTACTTAAAATATAATATATTGTGTTAATGAGAAATGCCATATTATTACCACCTTGCCGGGCCAGTTCTAGGGGTTTTAGTGCTAGTTTAGAATTCATTTTACTATATCGACCTGAGAATAGTGGTGGTCCATATGGACCGGTCTAGAATATATTCTGGACCTGCAATTTTGCCCTTAGAAATGACGTTATTGTACTATTCACATTGAAAAAGTGCTCATGTTAAAATATATGGCTGTTTAAAATCACTTGCCATACTCTACCTGGCCCTTTAAGAGTTGATAACGTCACTTCCTGTGTGAAATCTAAGCGGAAAATTGAGTGAATGTTTCTCATTTTTTCAAGTGTGGACAACGTATGTAATTGGTTTTAGATATCATATCAAGATAGCAATATGGTTGAAGAGAATATACAGGTTTGTAAGCAGAAAGTCAGAGGATAGAAAAATAGGGATGCCACACGAGGAAGCAAACAAATTTTGTTAATCGTTTATGCCATGTCTTCATCTGAACCTATTTATATCAAGGTAATGGTATCAATTTGACTCCGAGCAATGGAGGTTAAAGGTCGTGATATAAAACATTATCCAGTCGTTATTTTATCTATGATTATGACTCTAGACCTTTATTGCCGGAAAGATAATTGTCCACTAGTCCCATTATGTAACTCTAAATAACCTATTCATTAAATGATGATGCCAAATCATCTATTCAATCACCTTCGGCAATCTCCTCATGAGACGTATTGGTTATAGCATCGATATGGATTTTGTAGCAACCAGACCAATGCCCACTCTGTCTAGAGTTGTTTTGGCGGCTCTAAGATAGATTTCCCAAGTGGCTTGTTAGACGCAGAATTTTTGCATCAATTTTCATTTTTCACCTTTGAGCAGAATAAGCGATGAGCAGCGCGCTTGGTAAGTTCCTTCCATAAAGAGTTGCATATATGATATTACAAATACAAAAGTAATAAATAAACGATATATTCATATTTTTATTCGATCCAGTCTGGAAACTTTATTCAGCATCAGCTTCATTATCGTCTCCAGTAACTATCAGGTCTTACCTTCGTCAATTCACTTATAAATACAGTTAGCAAGGGTACGTGTGACCAAGTTGGTGGAACACCGGGTCGAACGCTTTCTATTCCAAATCAGTGGTTGAAATTTAGGTCAAACGGATTCGGAATTGAGATCCAACTTCTAGTTGGCTTTCTATGATATTTAAACATAAAAAAGAAAAATGTATCAAATCCTGAACTGAATACGTTTTACCCTCCAAATCTTGACAACTTCCCCATTGCATTACGTGTTAAATCCTATTTATGCTTGAATCTGTCTTCCATAATCTAATTATGAGAAAACGACTCTTACTGCTACAATATCCAATCTAATACTCCAAAGGAGTGGTATCGATATGGAGAACTTTTTGAACACACGTTTCTCTTAAACCAGTCATAAAAAATGTTATTGTAATTGTACAAACTTAAAGGCCCCATATAAAGTTTAAACCACTTTGGCTTATATTGTAGTCTTACCCAATTTTATCAAAGTGTGATATGTGAAACTTTTTTTTTAAATTTCAAAAAGTGGTTTTTGATAGACTTTTTGTTCCGAAATTTGTGTATTTATTTAAAACCAACTTTTAGAGGTCACTCATATATTCTAATTAGCCACAATTCATACCAATGCATAGCATTTATCCTCCCATGTTTTTTGCCGAAAAAATTAAGAAAATCGGTTCATAAATAAGCGAGAAATGAACTTATCAGTGCATGAAAATGGTTCTGAGAAAAATGCATTTCAAAATTTTAGTTCTCATAGAAACCAATGGTACAATGATATCTAAAACATAATTTATTTTTCCTTTTAACCTGGTTAGACAATCAACATTGGTTTTTTATGAAAGCCTAGCATATTTAGGAAAGTTTGACATCGAAAAAAAAATTTCAATATTTTTCAAAAAGTTTTTGGTACCTTAGTGACATCACTAATGTTTCAAAATATTTTTGATATGCTAAAACATTGAAGTGGCCCATTAAATATGGCATTTTATTATTGAAATAGTGTGTCCTTTGTTCAATCTTTGCATTGGTGTTAAAAAGATAATCTTTTTTGAAATGCATTAAGAAATATTTGATGATTAAGAAATTTCAAATTTTTTTGAAAAATGGCGGGAAATTTGAATATTTGAAAAATGAAATGCTCACAATTTTTTTTTTCAAAAATTTTTTTTTGTTCAAAAATCTCTAAAATCACTTTTTAAGTCCTGACAAATAGTAAATGAATGATAAAAAAATATTTTCAAACTTTAGACGGGGACTTTAAGGAAATTTGGGTTGATTTTAAAAAAGTATCTTGTTCATGAAATAAAAGGTTTATCTTGATTTTTATCTATTTTGGGAGGAATTTGTTTTAATTTTCTAAATACTTTTTTAAAATCAACCAAAAATTCCTTTGTATAACTATAATATTGAGAGGTCTAAAAACATGTTGTATATGCTATTTTGTTCCATCAAGGTTCGGAGAGACATTTTATTTCATTCTCAAGAATTGGTGGAAAGGAGCAAAAACAATTAAACACTAAAAAAACAAAAAATGTTAACAAAAACAGGTATATACAAGGCATTAACATGACAAAATGTCACCACCTAGTTGCTCACAATATTAAGTCAGATTTGAATTTCTGAGAACTTGTAAAGTCAAATTTGAACTTCTGAAAAGATGTAGATAATTTTGAAAAAAAAATTTGGTCAATTTGAAGCAAGTTGAAAACAGACCTTTTTGACCTTTTTTGACCTTGAGAAGGTCATTAAAGGTCAAATGTCAAATCTAAAGTCAGATTTGAATTTCTGAGAACATGTAGATGATTTTGAAAAAGAAAATTAGTCAATTTGAAGCAAGTTGA